AAAATGTCATGCACAAATATGTGAATGGCGAGCGTTCCTTCTGTGTGTGCGTACTTAGAATCCTATACATTCAATCATGTAATGTTTATGACCATATCTAAACATGACATGATGGAATGATAGGATTCCACTAGATCACAACATCGAACATTTCTATATTAATACAATGTTCTCCTTAAACCTCTAATCCTTTCATCTCCTCCCTCACTGGTACCACTCAGTCAGAAAGAGAAATGAGAGCTCTTTGGTGTAATGACTCCAAAGGTCCCAGTCTCCTGACCCCTTCTTCCCTCCCCTTGACCTGGAAGAGAAGCTCCCCGCCCACTGGAAGCAGAAGTGAATGCTCCCTTCACTTATGTGCCCTGGGCACAATTCCCTTGCACCTCCTCCAGGACCCTGGTCTCCTGGGATGCCCCCCAACATCTCCTTTTCTCTGGCTACTTACCATTAACACGCAGACATACTCCAGATTCTCTCATCCTAAACACAAACAAACCCACAAAACCCTTCCCTTGACACAAAGTCTCCCTTCTTCCTCTAGCTGTAACCTTAGTTCTGTCTTCTCATTAAACTTGGTTTCAAAGTTGTGGGTCATCCCTGTCTGTACCCACTGGTCCCATCATCCAAATCTGCTGTGGCAAAGGTAACCGATGGCATGGTTACCACTTCCCATGAAGTGATTCTGTTCTTGTCCTACCTGACCATTATCTGACTTCCTGACCTGTCCCTCCTCCTTGAAACATCACTGCTTCCAGTGGCTTCCAGAACACCACTTCCTCTTGCTTTCCACCTACCCTCTGCTTACCCTTGTCAGTCTCTCCACACTATTTACCCTAGAGCTTCCCTTTTGCTTTGACAAGTCTGCTAGAAAATAAAATATACTTACAGCCTCCCTTAGAGCTTCCTCTTCCTCTGCACGTGTCTGAAATTCTGCTGTTCCCCAGGGCTCCTCCCTCTACTGCTCATCTGTAGTCACAGCTGCAGTGTGCTGTGTGTGATGTAGGGACATTCCACAGGTATCTCACACTCCATATGTTTCAACCTGAAGGCAATATCTTTCTCGCCCAAACTCGCTGTTCTCCTGGGTCTCCTACATCACAGTACAATCCTAAACCAGGAATCTGCATGTCATTCCAACCCCTCTCCCCTCCCACCCTGTCATCCAAACAATCATTTAAGTTGTGTCAAGTCTACTTCCATTGCTCCTACCCTACTGTCATAAGTGGCCCATGCCACCAGCATCTCTCTCCTGACACTACAACGATCTCCTAAGTGTTCGGCTTGCCTCTGGTCAGGATGTGTCAATAGCTCCCTTCTGCTCACAAGATATACTCCAAATTCTTTAAAATGACTTCTAGGCCACCCAAGACTGGCCGCGGCCTGCCTCTCCATCTCCTGCCACTTTCTCCAGGCATTCAGTGCTTTAACCAGACAGAATTCCTTGCCATTCTTGTTGATGCTAAACTTCCTCCCCTTCCTGGCCTTTGCACACACTGTTCTCTGCTGAGAACACTCTTCCCCTTAAGACCCTGCTCCTCTTCAGGCTAAATCTGCTCAACCGTCAGTACTCAGGCCATGGGTCAGTTCTGGAAAAACTGTGATGGTGCCCAATCTCTGCAAACTGGGTTGGATACACCTGTTCATGGTATCATATACTTCTCATCAAATCAATCATCACACATTATCATCATTGTTCATTCCATTTTAAGTCTTCCCTACTGGATGCTAAGTTCCCAGAGGGCAGAGCTTTCACATCCTGCCAACCACAGCAACCTAGAGTCCAGCAGAAGGCCTGACATAGAGAAGCTTGGTAAAAAATTATTTTATCTCCATTTCACAAAGGTAGAAATCACAGCAGTCAGAGAAGCTACATACAGGGCAGAAGAGGAAATCTTCCAATGATGTTTAATTTCAAGCCTGGTGCTCTCTCTAAGCTCCTGTTTTTCCAAAGCTATAGACTTCCCTTTGGAAAACACAAGAAAATTTACTTTTTATTTACGTTTTAACTCACTGATCCCTAAATCGCATAACCTTGACCATTACTGGATCAAATCCTACAATCCTTTCAGGTGATTCTTGGGAAGACCCCTCAACTTACTTTCCTCTGTAAGAGACTCACTCTCCCTATCTCAATAATCTTTGGCATAAGTCACTTTCAAGCCATCTAAAAATCTCAGCAAAATACAAAATCACAGGCATCATCGATGCAAATGACTGCAAAGGAGATTGAAGCCCACTCCACCAAGCAGAATTCCAAATGCACATCAAAAATGCTACATATTCTGGCCAGTGTGGTGGCTCACTCTTGTAATCCCAGCACTCTGGGAAGCCAAGGCGGCTGGATCACCTGAGGCCAGGAGTTCAAGATGAGCCTGGTCAACATGGCGAAACCTAGTCTCTACTAAAAATACGAAAATTAGCTGGGCGTGGTGGCAGGTACCTGTAATCCCAGGTATTACTTGGGAGGCTGAGGCAGGAGAATCGCTTGAACCCAGGAGGCAGAAGTTGTAGTGAGCTGAGACCTAGCACTGCACTCCATCCTGGGCAACAGAGTGAGACTCCATCTCAAACAAACAAACAAAATGCTACACATTTTGATCATGACAAAGCCAAGAAAAGTGGAGAAATTAGAATGTGGATCACATAAGAAAAGAAAAAGTCCTAGCACTGTTCATGAAGAAACTAGCTACATCAGAAAACAAATTCTTCAATAATTTAAAATCCAAAACTTAAGAGGCAATGCACACATAAGCAACAAATCCAGAATGATCAACATGATCTGGTACTAAACATGTGTAGGCTCAGCTTGCTATATATGTATATTAATTATATGGGTACATTAATTATATGTTAATGCCTATTTCAGTGTGTGTTACTCTTTCTTACAATAAAGTTTGTCAGCGCCAGCTTTTTTGTGGTCCCCAACTCAAGGATCAGTGAAGGAGATAATGAAAACACTTCTGTTTCTATTTTATTCTTCCATCGGTTTGAGGAGAATTAAATATGTATAGAAAGTGAATAGGAGCATATCTTTGTTATCAAGCATTATTGCTATGGGATTTATTTTAAAGCAAAGTTGACTGAAGTAATTATTTACATGGAAAGTAAATAGTATCGCAGTGCAACTTGGCATTTTCTTATGTAAACTGCACTTATGCAAATGCACTACCATATTACCCACTGATCAAGGCAGGAGTCCATAGTTCGAAGCCTATGCGCTGACGTTTCATCCCCTCAACATCCTTTCCAGCCTCTAAGTTTGATAAGTTTGATATGTCTTTGTCTCTTTAAGAATCAGAACTAAACTGTCAATTCAAGCTTACCCTTCTCACCTCCAGCCCACAGTGTCCCTGCTCTCCCCACCCCATTACACAGCACTTTTCCTGAAGAATAAGTAAGCTCTAGTGACACACTTTGCTTTCTGCATTCTTTTCTTGCCAGGACTTGAACTATGCCCTCACCAAGTGCCCAGGTACTCACATTCTCTCAGACTAAGCCCACCTTACTTCCTGGGATGCTAATAACAAACATCTAACTGGGCTTTGATCTCCTTTGACCTGCTGTGTCCAGGACCAAGCCTTCATACTCATGACCAGATCTCTCTGTTCACACTAGACACACACAGAACTCCTACATACAGGCAACTGCCTGGGAAAAGTGTTCTCTCCTTTCCTGTTTTGCGCACACATCAGTGGCACAGTCAGAGTGGTTAACCAGAACACATGTTTAATTTGAAGCACTCTGTCCTCCTAACCTGCCTTCTTTGTATCCTTCTTTAAAAAAAACAATTGACATGGTCAAGCAGGTTATCTGAATTGCCTATGGTACCTGCAAGGTAGTAGATAATATTAAACCCCTTATTCCCATCTACCTTAGGTATCGTTATCTACTCTTCACAAAGCTTTCCCTTGAACTTCCTTAAGTCCAGGCATTACGGCCTTTACTTAAGATTCTACAGCAATACTACCAGGGCCCAAGATGCCCACACAACACTGAGATTAACCACATTTCCTGTTAGGGAGTTGGGTTTATGTGGCCCACCAGCTGAGTATCTTTGCCATCATTTTCTCTCTGGGCTCTTCTAAGTCTTGATTTTTAAGCTGAGGTGCTCATATTCCTGTGCACCTACCGCAACCCTGAGGGTTACCGGTGCTATCTAGTTCTCTATCAAGTCGGGACCCTCTACTCTAACAGCCGCCCAAACTAGAAACCTAAACGGAACAGATTCGCAGCCAGAAGCAGAGCTCTGGTGTGAAGTACAATTTTCTGTTAATTACCCAGCTCCCACTCCACATTTCCGAACTTCCAGGTTCCTTTCCTTAGGCCCCCTGTGCAGAGGATTCCCCTTTAGTTCACTTGTGCTCGATTCTCCTCTCCCAAATGCAGGTTCACTCACACTTACTGGAAGTCACAGTTGTACCTGCTTCATCTTATCTGGCTTAATAAACCAAACTGGTGACAGCACAGACCTCTGAAGCACATCTTGTGACCCGATTATCTCCCATGTCCTTAGCACCTTATTGCCTCCAGTATACTTGAGTTTAGGAAATCATCTCAGGTGGACTGACACGTGCTTCCTTCACTTTTCCCCTTAAAATGCTCCTGTGAATGGTAACGCTTCTCAAATTTGCAGCAGCGCTGGAATTTTTTGTGGAATTGAGAAAGGCAGGGCCTGACTTCCCACTCTCTGAAGAGTTCACCGATCTCCCTTGGGAGTTTCTCAAGACTCAAAACAGGAAAAGAAAGAGAGAAAGGAAGGTAGAAAGCAATGTAGGTATTAACCATTTTTCTGGTACTCTTCAAACCCAGAACTATTACAGAGGGCATTAGGAATTCCCCTTGGCTACCAGGAGAAGCAGCGCGAGTCCGATTCCTGACAGGCAAGCACCAGAGACGATGTGGAGTTTTGGTCGTTAGTTTAGAGATAACAACTGGATGCGTGGGCTTGTCTTACCAACCACTGGAGACACCAGGAAGGAAGAAATAATGGGCTAATACAGAAAGAACATAGAAGAGGGTCCCAGATACCCAAAGCCTCCTGGCCTCTCCGTCGTCACCTGGAATGGGCTGCAAAGCCTTGGCACAGGCAGCTGGGTCGTGTCCCCTCCCGCCGCGCGCCCCAGGCCGCCCGGACGGCACCTCCTTACCTTGCGGGAGTACGGGGGCTTGCTCAGGTGGATGCCGTCACGGACGAGCTTATCCCTGATCATGATCTTCAGCTTCAGTTTGGGGTAGCTCACCAGCTCCCTGCTGCGGGGGGCGATCGTGTGGCCGCGAGAGTCCCCGCGGGTGCCCTGGGCCGGGCCGCCGTACGGCTCCCCCCGGCGGCCGGTGGGGACGGTGTCGGCGGGCTGCCCGGGGGGCGCCGGCTGCGGCTCGAGCGTGAAGTAGAGGCCGGCGGCGTTCGCGTCCTGCTCCCGCAGCCGGCGCACGGCCTCCAGGATACGGCGGCGGTGCGCGGGCGCCAGCACCCCGATGGCATCCAGGTCCGGGTCCCCAATCTGCTTGCACACCTCCAGGTCATCGTAGCCGTTATCCACGAAGGACTCCGCGTACTGCGGAAGCTTCAGCGCTTTCAGCCACTCGTAAACTATATTGGTGCACATGGTGGGACCGGGAACCCAGCCGCCGAGCACCTTCCCTGCGCCCAAATGGCACGGGCGTCACCAGTTCTTGGAACTTTTAATCCTCTCCTCCAAGGGGAAAAAGGTATCGCAGTAAAGTTTTCCTTTTAAAGGAAAGGCTCGGGCCGGAGGCGGAAAGACATCTGAAGAAGCCTGAGGAAGGGAGAAGCGAACAAGCAGCAAAGTGAATTCCCCAAGCAGCCGCGGAGCTCACAGGCACGGCTGCTGGGCTGGGCTAGCCGCTCCGCGCCGCCCCGCGCCGCCCCTGGATGCGCCGCCGCTGCTGCTGCCGCGGGGAGGGGCGCGCGACGGGCGCGGGAGGGGGTGGAGACGGGAGGGGCAGGGGCAAACCCCTCGGACCCGCGCCGGGTCAGCGCAGCGCAGGGCCGCCCGCGGGTTTTCCCAGCCGGGACGGTCCGGAGGCTGCGCGCCGCATCTCGCGCTCTGGCAGCTGCTGGCGCGCTCCGCGCGGCGAGGCGACTCCTCTGCCCAGACCAGCGGCTGCTGGAAGCGCCTCGTCTTCGCGAGTGTCAGTCACTGTAGTCCTCCCAGCGGGAACCCGGTGGCTTCTACGCTGCCGAGCTCCGCTGGCTGCCCTGGGTTGCTTTTCACATTTCTCTTTAATTTGACTCTTCTAGCCCGTGGAAGTCTCTGCGCTCACTTCTTCCCGACCCTGCCGGACTCCAGCTTGCGCGCCCGCTGGCAGCCCAAGGGCAGTCCCGCCGCCCCACGGCGCTGGAGACGCTGCGGGGTTCAGTGTCCCTTCCTTCCGGAACCGCGTTTGAATCCCCCTTCCTCGGATCCCTTACGCAGCCCAGAGCCCGGCGATCTGGCTTCTTCCGTGGGCGGCCACTCTGTGACCCGAGCGGCGGCGCTTTGGCCCGAGGGTGGGCGCGACTTAGGGACGGCCAGCGTCCAGCCGGCGTGAGCGCAGCCCCTCCTCGCTGCAGCTGGGCACGTTGGGCGGCAGGAGAGGGTGCTGTGCTGCCTGGCTCTCCCTTTCTAAGCTCCCGGGTCTGCGAAAGTTTGGGGTGGGTTGTACTTTCTCTAGGTCGGTCTGTCCCACCCGGTACCCCACCCTACTTTCTGCCCGGCCCCTCACCCTTGTCGGCGCTATGCTTTCTCTCCGGGCCCCCCACCTTGTATATTGCACGGGCTCCCTGGGTGGTTTTGCTCCCAGGGACCCTGCCATGCGTTCAGTCCTGGAGTCCGTGAATCCGAGCCTGTGCTCTCGCTCCCGCCCGTGGATTGCGTGAAAATCAATAGAGCACCACCCAGCTCGTGTTGGAAGGGACGCTCAGACATCTCCGCCCACGGCATTTTCCCTCTAGGAGGTAACAAAATCAACCGAGTTTCCCCATCATGCCAATGTCTGAGCAACCGCTTGGGAGTGGGGACTCGAGTGGCAGGTGGAATAGACCAAGTGCCTGGGCCCCATTTTCCGGTGTCTGACCTCTTCTTGAGACTAAGGGAAGTGAGGGACCGCGGGGGCAGGTACTGTCTCCTCTCTTTCCGCAGAAGGGCGATTCAGCTTCGCACCTGAGCTGTTTAAGGACTGGATCTGACCCTTTTCCTGAAGATTGCCGGTGGGGCGTGCCAGTCTCTCGCCCGACCTTGGGAAGTGGACAAGGAGTGATTTCAGAGTCGTTTCCCGACCTGCTGTGTGTTTGGCCTTTGGGTGGGAGGTAGGGTGGGCCCTCTTACCCTAAACCAAGAGAGCTTAACCCCCTCTTGGGACACGAACCCTTTAAACAATCAGATGACAACTTCTGTCCTTTTGCCCAGGAAAATACCCGACCTAGGCGCACCCAAAACGTTCCCTACAGTTGCAGGGGGGTTCTGGTTTCCCAAACCCCGGGACTCACGAATCTCAAGAACAGCTGGCAGAAAGGACTGTCTGCTTGGGGGAAGGGAAGAGACCAACGCGGAGAGCCGTGGAGCTGCTTGTGGCCCCAGCCTTGGGTCACCCAGGACGCCCTTTCCGGGGCCGAGTTAAGGTCGCGGACCCTGGTAGGTGGCGAAGCTCCTGGGCTCTGGGATGCTAGAAGCGCGCAGCCCTCCCCGCCCCGCGCAGGCCGCCGCCTCTTCCTCTCCAAAGCGGACTCACAGTGCCCCCTGGCGTCCGCGCGGCCCCGTTTTAAGGCGTTGTCCCTGTCCCCAAACTCATTCTATTCACCGGAAGGAAGTGGACTTTGTGACTTTATACCGATTCCCCTTTTAAGTACAGACGTTTTTGTCACGTTTATCTTTATATTCCAATACTAACTCACAAGGATCTTTGATTTTTTTTTAAAGAAAATATTTCAGCAGTTTGAATGATGCTGCTAAGAAACAGAAATTATCAGCAAATATTTTTTGGAAAGTTACTCTATGCCAGGCATCTATTCACAGATCTATACACGTGTGGTAAATAGTAATATGCCATATCTTACAGAAGAAGAAATTGAGACCTCAAACCTAATTCGCCCACGATCTCACTGTTCCCGATGGAGCAAGGGGTTCGAATTGTGGGGGGATAAATTTAGTATTAGCCTTCAGCCGTCCAACTACTCACCTTCGAATCACAGTCCCCCGCCTGTGCTGTGCTGTGCAACATGTGAGGGTAAAAAATGCGCAGGTTGTAAGAGGTGAGGTTTTTTGTTTGTTTGTGTTTGTTTGTTTGTGGGTTTTTGTTTGGTTTTGGACTGGAAAACTTAAAGCTCAAGAGTTTTTTTGTCTTTTTTTCTTTCTTTCTTTCTCTCTCTCGCTCTCTCTCGCTCTCTCTCTCTCTCTTTTTTTTTTCTTTAACAGAGTCTCTCTTTGTCGCCCAGGCTGGAGTGCAGTGGCGTGATCTCGTGATCTCGGCTCACTGCAACCTTCGCCTCCTGGGTTCAAGTGATTCTCCTGCCTCAGCCACCTGAGTACCTGGGACTACAGGCGCCTGCCACCACGCCCGGCTAATTTTTGTAATTTTAGTAGAAACGGGGTTTCGTCATGTTATGCAGGCTGGTCTGGATCTCCTGACCTCAGGTGATCCGCCCACCTCGGCCTCCCAAAGTGCTGGGATAACAGGCAAGAACCACCGCGGCCGGCCTAAAGCTCAGGAGTTTTATTGTGTTTTCTTTCCCAAGCTGTATGAAAAGTCCAACAGCACTGTTCTGTCGTTCTTTGCCTTCTTATATGTGACCTTTTCCCCTCTGGGGGCTTAAAAATATTCATGTTGTCTTATAAATCCTCAGTGAAGGCAATGAGTATTTTTATTTCCGTTTTACGATTAGGGATACTGGTTGGGGGAAGATGAATGACTTGCCCAAGGTCATATAGTAAATCAGGACACAGACAAGATCAAGCTTGCCCTGTCAAAGTGCTTCCCTGACAGGCAGCAGTGATCCTCCTTTATTTATGTGCAAAGTACTCTCCAATTAGGAAATAAAGCATCCTGGTGCTCTCTTTGGAAGGGAAGCCTTTTATAAATTCATCACTTGTTAATCAGTCATAAATAAAACCTACTCACTTTTGACCTCTAGAGGAAACCTGCTATCTGGAGATTTCACTAATCTGAGCTATGGAGACTTTTTTTTCCCCAGGTTTCCCTTCTATTTCTCTTGTACATTTCTATACTTACTCGAGTCCTCTTTGGGTGAACCATTGACGCACTGTATCTTTCCATTGCTTGCCTTAGCATATTGAACCTCTTAATAGATTTCATTCTAGAGGCTACTATGCTAAAATGTGTCTATCTCTGTGGAGACTAGAGGCTAAAGTTCAAAGTGACACTGGCAAGAATGATTGGCTAATTTTAAGATTTAGAACTGTAGCCTTTTAGAACTAGAGGCCACTGGAGATCATACCCAGCATCTAGATCTGCATGGAGGAAGCCAAGGCCCAGAGAGGTCAAGTTCCTTACCTAAAGTTACACAGCTAGTTTGTGACAGAACTGGGACAAGAACCCAGATCTGCTTCCTCACATTGCTCTTTGCAATGTACTGCATTACCTCATTTTTGCTGCAAGCACTTGGCCACTGTCAAAATCATTCATTTACTCATCAAATGTTTATTAAGTAGGCACTTCAGTGCCAGGCACTGAAGCAAAAAAGAAGAGTTTTCCTTCATTAATTGGAACAGGAGAGACTTCAGTATTTTAAATATGTCGAGAATAAACTGACAGCTTTTTAAAATATGTTAGTTCATGAATTGTAAAGGTTACAAAGATACAAAGCAGTGTTTTCTTCTATCTGTAATATTATCCAAATTCTGTGATCATAATATTAGCCAAAATTTAAAATGAAACTGTATTTGAAATCCAGACAAAAATGTACTTTGAAAATGCAAGTGGCTACTCTGTTCCTAGTCACATCCTTAGAACACACAATTTATTCAGAAAACATTGTCAACTACCTCTAATTTTGTGTTACTTTTGATTATCATTGCTTTGTTAGAGCTTTTTTCTGTATATAAAAATTTTCAAAATATTTGTCATGCTGATTATTATTTAATATGTTTGGGGTCACACTTACTTTTGCAGAGGGGATGTCTTGCCTAATGAAAATCAATGGGAAAATAGGTTATGGAGAAAGTTTCTTTTTAGGCACCGTTTTAGAACTGTTGTGCAATGGTAATCACTATGGCAAAATGCCTGTTGATCCTCTCCATGTAATTAATTAATGATAATTATATTCAGGTTTTCAACTCTAAATATCAGAAAACAGCTTTTCTACTTGCTCAGTAACTTGATTTAAGGATATAGAGTGAAAAATAATTTGTTATGGAATTTTCTTGGTGCCGTTTAAGGTTTCAGACTATTTTAGAAGATAAATGTTCACACCTAGTGCATGTAAAAATTAAATTCCATTAACATCTATTAAATGTCAGTCCCCAGGGTGTCTAGCCTTGTAAAAGTCAAAGATATATAATATTAATCTTAAAATGCAAAAATGTCTTGCCTCTGCTTAAACCATGAGCTAAAAAGCATCTAGAAGGAGTGGATGCCATAGGGAGAAAAGAGAATAATGGGCTTGAGTGATGTAACAGGCAATCTCTTCTTCGGTGGCTGGGAGTGAGGTGCTGGGTTGGCAACTTAATTGGGGGCAGGCAGGGTGGGGGTGTCTGTTAATATGTCTGAGCTGTATACATTAGACTTGTGTGTGACAACACACATATGAAAGAAGGAAAGACAAGGAGCAGTGGGGAGTGCCAGCAGGATCCCATTAGATTATTCATTGCTGTTATAACAGGCCTTTCTTTCTTTCTTTAAAGAAGGAACAAAGGAGAGGAAATGCATGTTCAAGAAGTCATTCACTTAGAGGTCACTAACAAAAAGAGAACCAAGCTACAGACTATGTTTGTGATAGGAAATAAAATATGATACATTTTTCAAAAATTTTATTCTCTCATCTTTGGTAATCCCCAAAAGTTCTGTGTTTTAAAGCACACTCCAGAAGAGGAGGAAAGGGTTAATCTAGTGTCTCCCGAGGTAAAAATGATAGGTGCAGTATTTTGTTAGATAACAATGGGCAGCTCTTAGAAGTACCTTTATTTTCGCATTCTAAATCAGCAAAGCTATTATAATTTAGCACCTAAATGTTAGGTTATAGAACCCCACACAAGTGAAATTATATTGGTCAGTGCTATTTCAGACAAGTGCAAGTCATGTATATAATCACAAAGATGAAATCACTCAATTTATGACCAGTGCAAATTGACTAAACAACAGATTTTCCCATCTGACAGTTTCTTCTCATTCTGGAGTTAGGACAAGCGATCCCATAGAGCCTACTTCCTGAGACCTGCATGGCTACTGATGACTGAGAGGTGGCTGGTTTTCTGTCTTTAGGCAATGTAATTTTATGTATTTGTTTTAAAATCTTTAGTGCTTCTTGTCTGGTTTAAACTTGCTATTAGAATATATACTTTATAACTCTTCAATTCTTAAATTATAAGAACCCAGCATAATTAGAGCTCTTAGTAATGCCTGAGATCTTGCCTCTTTGCAGCTTTGGAGCAAGGCAGTGTGGAGTGCATCCCAGTTTTGAAACTATCTCTGACCTTGGAGGCTATACATATATATATATATATAGTGTCTTAGACCCTATTTATAAACGTGCAAATACAAGACCTAGGTGTACATCAGAAAAGCCTACATCAGAAAAGCCCCGTTCCTAGAAATAAGGCTGACAACCTGAAAGTAGGAGATGTTTTGAATATTCCTTCAAAACTTTTGTGCTTAACAGTTTCACAAAAGCCAAATTTCAAACCCTTTTTTGGAGCTGTTCAGCTGTCTTGTCTTAGTGAGCCCAGATGCCCACAGCTTGGACCAGGGCCGTGGCTTGGGGCAGTATACTCTCAACCAGCATTCTGTGGCCTTAGAGGACTTGCTGGAGTCATAAGCAAGGAGAGAGGGTCTTCAGGAAACTGCCCAGAAAAGTAACATAGATGACATTTTCTTTATGCTTTACAACAGGAAAAATTCCCCATGTTTCAGAAGTGTAAAAATTAAGATGAAACAGTATACTTAATTAAAAGGTAACATGGGTTTATTCCTCTATAATCCGAGTGGGGAAAACGTTCCTAATTTTGATTCGACTTCTTGAAGCAATGGGGAAAAACCTTAATACTTTTGATCATATAAATATGATAAACCTTTGCATGGGAACAAAAACCTCTATTAGCAAAGTAAATAGACAAATAACAGCTTGTCCTTGTGGGAAAATATTTAGAATGAATATGGTAACCATAGATTGGTATAGCTAATACAGAAAAAGCGTTTAAAAATAGAGAAAATAAAAGGCCAACAGGGCTGTGGAAAGATGGGTCAGAGAGTTCTCAGAAAAAAATAGACAAGCAAACAAATAGACCCTCATTTGAAATGATTCTCAAGTAGCCTCAAAGTAGGAAAAATGTAGTTTAGGAGGCCAAGGTGGGAGGATCACTTGAGGCCAGGAGTTCGAGACCAACCTGAGCAACATAGCAAGACCCCATTTATATTGAAAAAAAATGGCAAGCATGGTGATGCATGCCTGTAGTCCCAACTCCTGGGGAGTCTGAGGCAGGAGATCGCTTGAGCCCAGGAATTTGAGCTTGCAGTGAGCTATGATCACGCTATTGCACTCCAGCCTGGGTGACAGAGCAAGACCCTATTTCAAAAAAGAAAAAGAAAAAAAGAAAAGAAAAAAAAATGCACATTCAAACTACACTGAAAGACTATTCTTACCTATTAGATTAGCACAAATCATAAGGTTTAGCAGGCAAGGTTGAGAGAACAAGCATTCTCATAAATTGTGAGTAAAAATAAATATAAAACGGTACAATCCCTCTGAGAGTCAAATACCACTCCTATGATTTCATTTAATAGAAACAGAATTGTTAATCATGTATTGAAGAGTCTGAAAGACGAAGTAAACTCTGAAGTATCCCAGATGTAGTAACTTTAGGAAGCATTATGTTGATGCAAAAGTCATTGCAGTTTTTGCCATTGAAAGCAATGGATTATTAATTATCCTTAAAGGTTGGGGAAACAAAGGAAGAAGGTTGGGATTATTAGAATACAGAAACTTGGAAGAGGGGCCCTGCTGAGCTGGGACCCAGAATTCTGAAAAGGGAGTGCTTGGTTAGGAGAAAGAACCCCATGAGGCTGGACCCAGACCTCCAAGGAAGGGACACCATCTGGACGTACAGGAGCCCCAGGGGCCCCCGCAGAGCAGAGTCTCAGACTTCTGAGCTGGGCTGCTGACTGGCTTGTGTGGATACTGAGAGGGTTCTAGGAATGTAGAAAATTGGAAACTGTGACCCACCCCTACTGGGTGAAAAACTGTGGCTTGGGTGACGCTGGCAGGAAGAGGAAACAAAGCAGAA